GCCCCCCTCCTGCTGCGTCCCCTGGGGCCCCTGAGCTGCCGCTTCCCTGCGACCTGGAAGGACATTTCTGACAGCAGCAGCAGGGGAGGGTGCTGGGCTCTGGGTCTGCCGGTCCCCGGGGGCCGTCGGTGTTTTCCGTCACCATCGGTGCTTTCCATCCTCGTTGGGCAGCATTTCGTTGCCGTGATGGGCATTTTGCTGCTGACCATGAGCAGGCAGCTGTGGGCAGAGGTGCCTGGTCTGTCACTCGTGAAGCTGGACAGAGCTCTCTTCCCCTGCCCAGGGCATCCCATCACGTGGTGGGTTTCCATCCTCGATACAAGCACTGGCAAAGAATGTGCCAAAACCATCCAGCCTTTTCCCGGGGCTGCAGTGGGGTTATTTTGAAATACCCCGTGTCTGCAAGCTCTGGAAATGTTTGAGGTCCGTGCCCTTACCCGAGGACTTGGGGGGAGAAGAGAGGACTTGTAACAATCTTGGTCCAAGGCATCCATGGGCAACCATGATCCTTTCCTGTCTGCTTCACCCTCACCTTTTCCCACCAAGATCTGTCCATTTGCTGCTTTATTGTGGTCTTCTCTGGTCCCAGCAGTGACCCAACTGCTTGGACACCTTTGAAGACACTTCCCAGCCCTGCAATAACCTGGTCCCTCATGGGGCTGGGTGTGCAGCGTCGCTGCTGGGATGTCTTCTCCTGGTGCCCCCAGGGGCGCTTGCCCACAAGGCTGGGGCAGGTCTTGGCTCCATCCCTCCTGCCTCAATCAGTCAGTGTTTCTCTGCCCTAACTGGGTTTGTTGTGTTTTTTTTACAGCATTGACTGTAAGATTCATCACCAGGAGATTCATTGGAGACTATGACCCGACTCTAGGTAGGTAAAGTCCATTTTCTCATTGCTTGCTCCAACGCTTTGGTCACCATTGCCCTTTCATTTCCATTTGCTTCTCTCACACGTGTTTTTCTGTCTGTCCTCCTCCAGAAATGATTTACAGACACATGGCCATCATCGATGGGGAGATGGTGCACTTCGAGATCCTGGATACGGCAGGACAGGTGAGCTCACGCTGCTTTGTAGCTGCCTGGCCCTGGGAAATGCCCTCGGGGAAGCGCGAGTTGCCGTTGAAGCAGCACCAGCCCTCCCCTCACCCACATCAGGACGGGGCTGGTGTCTCCAGCCCTCATTTTGCCCAACCCATCAGTTCTTGCCCTGGGCTCCCTGTGTTGCTCCCCACATGGCTGCTGTGTGCCAGCCTAGGGCCAAGAACCTCCAGGGAGATGGTGACAGATTAAACCCTTGGGAGGTTTAATCACAGAACCACAGACTGGTTTGGGTTGGAAAGGACCTTAAAGATCATCCAGTTCCAACCCCCCTGCTGTGGACAGGGTTGCCAACCACTGGATCAGGCTGCCCAGGGCCCCATCCAACCTGGCCTTGAATGCCCCCAGGGATGGGGCATCCACAACTTCTCTGGGCAACCTGGGCCAGTGTCTCACCACCCTCTAGGTGAAAAATTTCCTCCTCATATCCAACCTCAGTCTCCGAGGTTTCCGAGATTACAAGCAGCAGTGTTGGTATTTAGGAGATGTTGGGGCTCTGGGTGTTAACAGGAGCTTGTCTGCCCTGGCAGGAGGAGGATTCCCTGCAGATAGAGGAGAAGATCAAGTGGGGTGATGGCTTCGCCGTGGTCTACTCGGTGACGGACAGGTGCAGCTTTGACGAGGTGATGCGGCTGTGTTTCCTCATCAACCACATCCACTCGAGCCCCAAGCGCAGCAGCGGGGGCGACCAGCCCCCCGTCGTCATCGTGGGCAACAAGAAGGACTTGCAGTTCGACAGGATGGTGTCCACAGAGGACGGCGAAAACCTCTCCAAGGCCTTGAAGCTTCCTTTCTACGAGATCTCCACCCGGGACAGCTATGAAGAGACCGTGGGGGTGTTCAACACCCTCTACCAGGAGCTCATGAGACAGGGACATTTCTCCCCAGGCTCCTTCAAGAGGAGGACAGTGTCAAAGCTGATGGAGAAGATCCCTAAGATGCAAGCCAGCTCCACCTTGAACTCAGCGGGCCGGAGCCTCAGCTTTAACTCCTTCAGGGACTACATCCCAGAGTGAGCATCCCCGGTGCGGAGGGGAGAGCGACGGCCGAGCTGGGACCCAGGGACAGGTTCTCCTGCTGCTTCAGCCCCAGGGTTGAGGGGCAGCTCGTGGGGCTGTGCTGGCTCCCAGGAGGGGAAGGTTAAGAGGTGGGGAGAGTGGGGTTGGGGTCCAACAGCCTTTTAGAGCCTGTAGGTTTTTCTAAAAGGGCTTTGTGTCAGCAGGGAAGATGTTCTTTGTCCGTCTTACCCCTCTGCTCCCTCTTCCTCCTGCACGGCTCAAGTCAGTAGCGAAGGTGGCCCATGGTGACTTCAGTGGTGTTGGGTCAACCCTTGGAGGCTCAGGAAGGGGTCAGTCCCAGCACAGACACATCTGTGTGGGTTTTCCTACTCCCCTAAGAGAGCTTGTGGGGTCGGTCTGTGCACCCACAGTGCCAGGGTGACCCCAAGGGTCGCGCTGGCTCCTGGGCTGTTGTCACCCACCCCTGTCCTGGGGAAAATGACTGTTGCTTCTGCTGCTCCATGTTGCTGGTGGGTGAAATCCCCCAGCTGCTCCAAACCTTTCCAGCCTGGGCGGCTGCTCCGGGGGGTGGTCACTGCCCATGTCCATCCCTCGGTGCCCCCAGACCCACTCGCCGCGTGGGTGGGTGGGTGGCAGAGGGCTGTGTTCCCCTCCACTGCCGTCCTTCCCCAGGAGCCAGGGCAGCTGGAGCGTCTGTCTGTCAGAGCTCGGGGCTGCGCTTCTGTCCCAGGTTCCCTTGGGGTTTGTGAGCTGAAGGTTCTGAGGAGGGACAGACCGCCCTGTCCCCCCCCTGCTGGGGGTCCCAGCTCTGCAGGAGCCCCTCTCCCCCCCGGCTGCTCACGGGCTGGCACCCAGGGCTTGTTGCAAATCAAACCCGAGCTCTGTTTACAGTGGGGGAGAAGAGCCTGTTAATCCCTGGCTTTTCTAAAACCCCCTTTTTTAAGGTTTCAGGCTTCCTGGCGCGCTCTGCTCTAATAACACTGTCAGGAAAGCCCTGGCACGGGGCAGCGGAGGCGGCAGATGTTGCTGC